AGTGAGGTCATGTCTCTAAAAAATAAAAAAAGAGAAACAGGAGAGAGCCTGATTCCCCCTCCTCTGCCATGTAAGCAGTGTAACCAAGATGAGGCCCCTCACCAGAGACTGAATCTGTCAACACCTTGACTTTGGACTCCCCGGCCTCCAGAACTGCGAGACACTGTCTATGGGTTAAGCCACTCAGCATGTGGTATCTTGTTATAGCTGCCCAAGCTGACTGAGACAGACGTTCAGGCCAGAGAGCGTGCATGCATAGTGACACCAGCTGTGAGTCTTTCTCCAGGGACAGTTGGCAGCTGGCCCTAGGTGCAGAGCCGATGACAAGGACCCAGGCTCTCAGCAGGTCTTCGAAGCAGTGTGGTGGAAAGGCAGGCAGGGCATGGGAAAGTGGAGCCAGGCCACCAGTCATGATGTTGAGACTGAGCCAGGAGGCAAAGGCAGGGAGAGAAATGGAGAGGAGAGGGAGCAGGAAGGGACTGGCCATCTCTGAGACTTAAGTATGAGTAGTGGGTGGACTTGAGGGCAGGAGAGGACTGGAAGGGCAGAGGCCTGAGTGATGCAGCCGGAGAGGGAGATGCTATAGTGGAGAGTTCTAGGCAGGGATGTTTTAGGTGATGGTGGAGTCTGGAGTGGGTGTGCGTAGCTGGGGATGGAGTAGAGGTGAAGGTGCTGAAACTGAGGTCAAAGGTTGTAATCTCAGGGTGCATGACTTGGGGCAAAGGAAAACTATGTCCCAGGTGCCAGGTCAAGCCTCAGAGGCCTTGGCACCATGGAGCCCAGGAGCGAAGTCTGCAATAGGGATTTTTTTTTTTCTTTTTTTTTGCGGGGGGAGACGGAGTCTCACTCTGTTGCCCAGGCTGGAGTGTGGTGGTTCCATCTCAGTTTACCGCAACCTCCACCTCCCAGGTTCAAGCGATTCTCCTGCCTCAGCCTCCCAAGGAGCTGGGACTACAGGCATGCGCCACCACCCCCAGCTAATTTTTTTATTTTTAGTTGAGACAGGGTTTCACCATGTTGGCCAGCCTGGTCTCTAACTCCTGACCTCAAGTGATCCACCTGCCTTAGCCTCCAAAGTGCTAGAATTATAGGTGTGAGCCACCGCGCCCAGCCTAGAGCCTAAAGTATCCACTTGTACATGCAGATGCCCAATGATGGAATGACCACCCATCTCTGCGGCCTTTTCCCTTTGCCACAGGGACAAACCACACAGATGACAGGATCATGCTATAGATACTGAGCAACGATTGATGATACCAGCTGGTGTTTCTTTTTTTTTCTTTTTTGTTTGTTTTGAGGTAGGGTCTCACTCTGTAACCAGGCTGGAGTGCAGTGGCCTTGAACTGTAGCCTTGAACTACTGGGCTCAAGTGATCCTCCCGCCTCGGCCTCCCACGTAGCTGGGACCACAGGCGTGTGCCACCGCGCCCGGCTGAGAGAGAGCTCTTCATGTCTCCTGTCCTGACTCCCTTCCTCTGCCTTCCTTCCAGAATCCCAGGTTCCCAGGCAACCTGCAGATGAGTGACCGCCAGCTGGATGAGGCTGGAGAAAGTGACGTGAACAACTTGTAAGTGGCTCCTGCCCTGAGCCCAGGGAGGGAGAAAGCTTTTGTGAATGCCAACACTTCTCATAAGGGACATGGAGGGCCTGATTGGGTTGGGGGGCGTGGCTGGGGTGGGGACCAAAGCCCCTGGGTGACTTGGCCTTGGGGCCACTTATTTATTGCTGATGCCTCATCCAGAACCCCTGCCTGGCTATTTCACA